GGAGGCCCTTGAACAGAAACTTCATTAAGAGTCAGTCAGTATGCGACTCAATGGGCTACTTCCATGAACCTCACTGTGGCCTTTCAGGGCTCGGTATGTCCGTTCAGAGGCGGCACACCTTTCAGATGCTAAAGGCGGCTCACTCTGACGGACCACCATCTGCCGCTTTCCAAGTTGGACTGGAGGCTACAATTACAAACGGTGTGAAAATGAAGGTGCTAACCTTCCCTGTGGTTCACATGTGCCCCTCTCGTCCATCAAAGCCAGTTCCACTTGAGCCCTTTAAAGGGGCCCCTTGGCAGTTCGGGAATTCAACAGAGAAAACGTTTCCAATGTTCTGTTGTTATTGTTGGTGGCCACTGAGTCAGCTCCCACTCATGGCGACCCCATATGCAGTTGAAGGAAACGTTGCCCAGTCCCGCACCGTCTTCACAATCACTGGTATCTTTGAGTGCATTGTTGCAGCCACTGTGTCTGTCCATCTCACTGAGGGTCTCCCTCCCCCTCATTGGCCCTCACCTTCACCAAACATGATGTCCTCCTCCAGCAATTGATCCCTCCTGATGACATGCCCAAAGCAAGCGAGTCTGACAATGTCCTGTTGTGATCCATAGGGTTTTCAATGGCTGATTTTTGGAAGTAGATCACCAGGCCTTTCTTCCTAGTCTGTTTTAGTACGAAAGCTCCACTGAAACCTGTCCACCATGGATGACCCTGCAGGTATTTGAAATACTGGTGGCCTAGCTTCCAGCATCCCAGCAACACGCAGGCCCTCACAGTACGACACACTGACCTGCAGGGGGAGGTTCATTGCTTAGGCAGCAGCTTGAAGGAAGCATCCCCAGACATGGGGTGAAAAAGCCTCGTCTTTGTTTTCAGTCTTTGGTGAGACATCCTTTATAGCCACTTAACCCCGAGATGATTGGGGCTTGAAGTAACCCCCATTAGGAGATAGGGATAAATACAATAAATGCAAACATGGGGTTTTATTTAAAAAAGAAAAAAAAAAAGAGTTCTTAAATCCAGTGATGGCTACTGCGTACTTTTGTAAAGAAAAATGCTACCAAATAAAGTGCTGAGGGGGAGGCTGGGGTGGAGGTGCAGCTCCTGGTCCCCCCTCAGACGGTGGCCGAGCCTCGGGTGTCTGACGCCGTCCTTCTCCGTAGGCTAGAAGCAATCCACAGCGCTGCTCCTTTGCCATTGCAACCCAAACCGCACTTCTACCCTCACGCTCTCCAACTGAGGCAGAGTTCAGATGGATCCTGTTAGGGCCTCGGAGCTGTATGAGTGGTTAGATAACAAGGTAACCGCTTGGGTTTACAATTAGCAGGAAGAACTTGGGTGCTGGACAGCCGCTGTCGAATGTCAGCCCGGATACATCATGGCTGCCCTCGGGCTCCTCTCGGCTCTTTGGGAAACAAATCATTCAGGCAGAGAACGGTGTTAAAATATTGTGGCTGCACTAACGGTTTTGAAACGAGAGGCCAAGATCGGCAATCCATCCCGTGACGGTCCCAGAGGCATGCCAGCTTTCTTCCTGGATCTCTTCTCGTTGTTCTCAGTCATCTCGCTGCTGATTGGCCTGGACCTTCGAAGGGGCATTGGAGGTTGGCAGGACACCTGCTTCTTCACACCCTGCCGATGACACGTCCGAATTCAATAACATCCTGCAGGACCAGGCACAAAATGGTTGTCCTCATCCGAAGTTTGTCCTCACCCGAATCGCAGGCAGCCTCCAAGGACCCAGTCCCTCCTTGTGCAGCAGGCTTTCTCTGTTCAAGTCCTGTGTGACTGGTCGTTGGGGAAGAATGACTTCACCTCTCCCTTTTGGGTCCAAGGTTTGTTTTTTAATTGCAAGGGTAGGAAATATGGACCTGAGAATCTCTAAGGTCACTTCCAGCTGTAAAATCCCGTATCTGTGTGATTATACTTCACTCACACTGTCTTATCCTGATTTCTGTAGGATGAGCATAGAGATTATAGGGAGCCCTGGTGGCCCATTGGTTAAAGCACTCGGCTGCTAACCAGAAGGTCAGTGGTTCAAACCCGCCAGCCGCTCCACGGGAGAAAGAGGTGGCAGTCTGCTTCTTGGGAACCCTATGGGGCCGTTCTACTCTGTCCTGTAGGGTCACTAGGAGTCAGAATTGACTCGGCGCCAACAGGGTTTGGGTAGCACAGGTATTCATTTCATTTCCAGAGAAAATGGTGAGCTTTTAGAGTCTCACTACTTCTGGACAAGGAGAACTCCCTCACCCTATTCTGTCCCCAGGGCTCTGGGTGGTACAAATGCTTTGCGCTGACGACTAAGCTAAAGGTTGGCAGTTAGAACCCATCCAGCAGCACCTCAGAAGAAAGGCCTGGTAATCTGCTTCTGTCAAGATTACAAACAAAAAGACCCCGTGGAACATGGTTCAACTCTGTAACGCCTGGAGTTGCTACGAGTTGGAATCAATTCTATGGCAGTGGATTTGTTCGTTTGCCTTTAATTCTATCCCCGAGTGACTGTGCCTTGTGAAGTAATCCCCAAGATGGGGTTGTTGTTGTTCGCTGTTAGCTGCTGTTGAGTCAGCCCCTGACTCATGGGGACCCCATGCACAGTGGAAGGAAGTGCTGCCCGGTCCTGCACCATCCCCATGATGGTTTGTAGATTGGATTGTTGCGGTCCATAGGGTTTTCACTGGCTGATTTTCAAGTGTGGGTCACCAGGCCCTTCTTCCTAGTCTGCCTTAGTCTGGAAGCTCTGCTAAAACCTGTTCAGCATCATAGCAACGCGCCAGCCTCCACTAGCAGACAAGTGGTGGCTGTGCATGAGGTGCATTGGCTGAGAATTGAACCCGGGTCTCCTACATGAAAGGGGAGACTTGTACTACTGAACCACCACTGCGCCCAATAGGGGGTAGGTGTAAATATAATAAAATGCAAATACAGAGCCTTAATAAGAAATAAATGCTCAAAACTTCTCAGAGCCCAAACTGGCTACTTTTTGTTTGAAATTGAGGAGTCTCTGAGAGAGCAACTCGGTTTGCTAGTCACCATGTTGTTGTTAGGTGCTGTCGAGTGGGTTCCGACTCATAGTGACCCTATAGGACAGAGTAGAACTGCCCCACAGGGTTTCCAAGGAGCAGCTGGTGGATTTGAACTGCAGACCTTTTAGTTAGCAGCCGAGCTCTTAACCAATATGCCACCAGGGCTCCACTGGTCACCACATGACCCAGCAATTCCGCTCCCGGTTATAGACCCAAAAGACTTGAAACCGGGCACTCAGACAGGTACTTGTACACGAATGTTCATTGCAGTATTATTCACAGTAGCCAAAAGGTGAAAACAGCCGACGTGCTCATCGACTAATGGCTGAACAACGTATGGTCTGTCCCTGCAATGGAATATTACTCATCCATGATGAGAAATGAAGTCCCGAGACGTGCCACACCGATGAACCTTGAAAACACCATGCTGAGTGAAACGAGTTAGACTCAGAAGGACAAATGTGGTATGATCCCACTCATACGAGATGTCCAGACTAGGCCAGTGCATTGTTGTTGTTGTTAGTTGCGGCTGAGTCGATTCCAACTCATACTGACCCCATGTGACAGAGTAGAACTGCCCCATAGGGTTTCCTAGGCTTTAATCTGTATGGGAACAGATCACCAGCTCGTTTCTCCAGTGGAGCAGCTGGTAGGTTCGAACTGACAGCCTTTCAGTTGGCAGCCGAGCACCTACCCACAGTGCCACTAGGGTTCCTTAGGCAAATGCACAGAGATCAAAATGTATCAGTGGTGACCAGGGGCTGCGGGGAGGGAGAAATGAGGAGTTGTTGCTGAAGGGGCACTGGGTTCTGTTTGTCGCGATGAAAACCATCTGGAAACGGATAGAGGTGATGGTCTTAGAGCAAAGTGAATGTCATTAATGTCTCTGAATTGTACTAAAAATGTTAAAAATAAGAAACAAAGCATGTGAACTTAATATTCTGTTTAGTAAAACAAAAAAAAAGGGAGTGACCCGAGCCTAGGGTTGGAGAAGTTAGGAAAGCAATCTCTGGCATTTTAATGTCCAGCCCACCGATCTGAAGAGGGGGCCTGGACTCTCTAGGTCAGGAAGCCCACCTTGGTTGCCCCCCCACCCCGTTCAGACGCCCCCTGGGGGTTATCCGGCCTCCCCACAGTGCCCTGGGGCCTCAGGAAGGGCTTCTTGGTTAATTAACAGACTGGTGTTGGTTGCCTGTTTGCTTCATTTTCCTCTGTGTGTTTCCAGTCGTTCTAGGATCTGAGCGTGTGTGCCTTGTTACTGCTTCCTCACGTCTGTGGATGGAGTTGTCACAGGCTGCGTTAGCCGGCTCTGCCTGTACACGTTCACCATTTTAGGCTGAGTATTTGCCGGACGTGTTTTTACTGCGCAGCCACGGGGATGTGTTACCGGGAAATGACCGTGCTCAGGTTGATCTGATTGGCTTCCGGCCTGGTTGCCCACAGCACACCCCCAACCTCCATGCACTTGGAGGGCGGGAGGGTGTCTTAGCCAGGGTTCCTTCCCTCCGAGTCCTAGCCCAGTGCTGAGACATAGGAGGGACTTGGTAGGCATTGGTGTAATTAACATGCGGTGGGTCCATGTTATAGGAGTCCCCGGTGGTGCAAACGGTTAAACCAAGGCTACGAACTGAAGGGTTGGTGGTTCGAACCTACCCAGAGGCACCTTGGAAGACAGTCCTGGTGGATTGCTTCCAGAAGGTCATAGCCTTGAAACCCCTATGGATGGAAGCTCTACTCTGTAGACATGGGGTCCCCATGAGTCGGAATTGACTTGATGGCAACTGGTAACTAGATCTACCTGAAAATCATTGAGAGGAATCCTAAGTCTAATCAACCCCACTTCTACCAGTACCTCCCAAGACACCAGTTATTGGGAGAAATCATGAGCTTGTGTTCCCACTTATGGGACGGAGTTATAAGTCGATGCCAAAATCTCGTCTCACCGCTGCTTTCTTTCTTTGTCTTCTTCCCCAGTAAGCCAACATGGTGAACACCTAAGCAGATGGTGAGACGTGGACACCGTGTGGGAGAGAAGTGTCTCCACTCCAGAATCCCCACAGGAACTTGGCCGAGCCCACCACCCACAGAGTCCTACTCTGCTGGAATGACACGTTTGCGAGACAGCAGGGGAGCCGTGGCCCAGGGACCGGTCAGCACATAGGGTGTGTAAAGACCACACAACTTGTTGTTGCTTGCTGAACTGCGAAGAACTGCATGAACCGTATCTAAGCTGCTTTCTATACCATTGCCAATTCCCTTTTTTTGGACTTGGAAGTACTGTTTTCTTATTGACTCTTGTGTTAGTTCATTTTGCATGTAGCCAGTGATTATACATAAGCACCATAGGTAATCTGCTTATTTTTTGGAAAAAATCCATCCATACAAAATGGTGAATAAAGTGTTGATTCTGCTCTTTTTTGCCAAATTATAATCATAGCCCATGCCACTTAAAGCTTAAATTGGTTTCCTGTAAAGATCAGCGTCATAGGTCTGCATATACTTTATAGAAAGCTAGCTTCTATAAAGATTTTTTCACTGTTTACTAGTGAAATGAGCAAAGCAAAGTTATTTATAAAAGGCCTTATGTCGTGTACATATATTGTCTTTGAAATATTTGATTTAGTTTATTGCCTGTAAAAGAGAAAATATATAATTTATTCAATAAATACTACTGTAAACTCTAGTTTTATTGAGAGAAATAAAATATTTTGTTCTCAGTTGTGGTAGTACCTTGATTCCAATCATTTTCTTAAAAAAATAATACTAGTGTGTTTTTGGTGAAGGATTACACAGCAGTTTAGGTTCGCCTTCGATAATTTCTACACAAATTGTTCAGTGACATTGGTTACATTCTTCACAGTGCATGAACATTCTCATTATTTCTGTTCTGGTTGTTCTGTCTCCATTAATCTAGTTTCCCTGTCCCCTTACATTCTCATCTTTGTTTTAAAGTAATTGTTGACCATTTCGTCTCATACAGGTGATTTTTTAAAGGAGCATAGTACTCAGCAGTGATATTCATTATTTTGTGAGCCAATCTGCTATTCAGCTACAAGGTGAGTTCAGGGTTAGTTTCAATCCAAGGTTTGAAGAGTATCTCAGGGCAACAGTCTCGGGGAGCCCTCAACCAGTCCAGTAAGTTGATCTTTTATTTTTTGGGTTTTGTTTGTTTTAGGAATTTGAGGTTCTGCTCCCCCTTTTTCCCTCATTCTATCAGGGTTCATTTATTATGACCCTGATGGTTTCTGGTCTTTACCGTTTTTTTCCTTTAATAATTAAAAATACCAGCCGCTCCTCATTTTTAGTTATTTGGGGATCTGAAATAAGTTGAATCTCATAGCAAATGAAAATGGAAAGACAAAGATCCCTGGGCCCCGAGAAGAGACTCCATAGCAGATTCTGCTCGGCGCATCTCGGAGGTCTTCCCAAAGGCTCTGCAGTATTAGCCTGCTTCCACTGTGTTTTGCAGCAGAAACAAACAACCCCCAAATCATTCATCAACAGACTTTTGTTTCCCATTCACATTTTTGGGCCAGCTGCCACTCTGTTCCAAGTGTCAGCTTCATTTTGGGGCACAGAATCAGCTCCTATCTGGGGCGTGCCACTTTTATGGCAGAAGAAAAAGCAGTGGTGGAGCCAAGTGCTTGGAACTCTGGAGTCATGAGGAGACAAACGTTCACCAACGTGACTGCCTCTCCTCGTGTCTTTGCAAACACAGGACACCTCCCGAGGACACCCAAGAACCCACCCCAGGAATCCTTCCCAGACTGTGGTCCACCAGAGGAGGCTCTGAGGTTACACGGAGCTCTGGCCCAAGCCCAATCTCTGGAGGCTCCTCTGGGCGGGCCCAGCCTACAAACGCTTCTTCTACTTGTTTTCCTGCTTTTTATTTTTTACTTTCCTCGCCTTCTATACTATGTCCTCCTATTCCCTGGGAGTCTCCTCTACCAACCAGGCCACTCAACACAAACGGTCAAGTTCAAAACTGGATGTCAGATATTCAAGGAGTCAATTGTAGTATAAGTGGGGGTATTTGTTTCTTTACATGCTGTCTTAACAGAGTTTCGAGGCCATGGCTGGAGGCTGGTCCATTCCCCTTCTTGGGCAGCTAAGTCCACTCTCCAGCCACCACCCCCTTATTGGGCTCTCACACTCCTGGGCAGGTGCCTAACACCTAGGGACAGGCAGGTACCCCGCGCCTAGGGGCAGCAACCTACCCAAAGCCCTGGAAGTCCAGGAAACCTAGCCAACCCTGCCTGCTGGCATACATAAGCCGTCTTCCTCAAATGCAGCTTGTTGTCACCCGGCCTGGGTGCCACCCCCGTCAGGCCCTGTATCCTTGTATGCTGTGACGCACCCAAGGCGCTGTGAGCGTGACCAGCCTCGCACACTTGCAGTGGCTCTCTCTTGATCTCTATCCGGTCTTACCTTACCTCACCCGAGGCAACATGGTTAAACCACCCGCACCTGGGCTGCCCCTGGCCCCTCACAGCCCCTCCCTCCCACACCTGGGCTGCCCTGGGACCCCTCCCACCTTAACATCCCACCTGGACTTCAACTGATGCCTCCCACCTCCTCCCTTACTTCACCTGTGCCTTCTACTGACCCACTTCCCACCTTACTCCTGACACCTCGGTCATTTCCGGATTGACACGCCTGTGCACTCAGTGACCCCTCCCACTTCACCATTACCACACCTGTGCCTTCTTGTGGGCTGTCCATCCTCCTTACTCCTTCACCCTCCTCATCTACCATTACTGAGCTGCCTCCTGACCCCCCACCTCATCATTACCACACCTGGTTGGTGATGTGCTGGCCCCTCCCACCCGATCACTTCCCATACCGGGTCTGACCCCTCCCACCTCCTCACTCACCCACCCAGTGCTGATCAGGATGACTCCTGACTCTTGGTTACCCACATCTGCGAGTTCTCCAGGCCTGTCCTACCTCCTCAGCTCCCATAGCTTGTCTGTCTCTTGATCCCTCCCAGCTCTCACTCGCCACACCTGGACTGTGTCCGCACCCTTCCCGCCTCCTCTTTACCCACTCCTGGGATTTATCCTGTAGACGGGAACTCACCCAAATACCTGTCCACGACTGCTCACAGCAGCACTACGCCTCCCATCAGTCAATAGTGGGAACAACCCAAAGGTCCATGAGCAGATGACTGGATGAACAAAGTGTGGTCCATCCACACAATGGGCACCACTGAGCCTTAGAAGGAATTAGAAGGAGACACGTGCTACACCGTAGATGAACCTCAAAACCATTAAGCTAAGAAGCAACACGTGAAAGGCCATATATTTCCATTTAGATAAGCGATCCACAGCACGTAAATCCATAGGCACAGAGAGCCAATCACTGACTGCCGTGGGCACGGGGCGAGGGGCATACGGAGGACTGTTTAATGGGTCCGGGGTTCCTGTTTGTGGTGATGACAAGGTTCTGAAGTAGATACTGGTGATGGTTGAATAGCATGTGAAAGTACATAAAGCCACTGTATCACACCTGTTAAAACTATTTTTAAAAAAAACTTTATTTAATGAGAAATCTACCAGTTAAAATAGTATAAACTATGAAGTAGAAAGTGAACTGTAAATGTACCACAGACAAACCACAGAAATACCCACTCAGGTGAAGGTAACAAGGGATCTCCTTCCAAGGCTGATGCTCCTTGGCTCTGGCTGAGGAGCTATTGTGGAGCAGGTGTGGCAACTTGCTCGGCCTCTGGTGCCTTGGCCAGACCTAGAGATGGAGGTTCTGGGGCCACGTGGAGCCCCGGTGTTGACACAGGAGTAGGATCAACATTAGCTGCTGGTCTGAGAGCTGTTTCTGTAGGTGGCTGAGGATAAGAATCCAGATTTCCAGCAGGCTCTTTGTCTGGAGCCTGGGCTAAAGGTGGAGATGCAGGACATGAGAACATATGCAGTTCTGCTACTGCTGCAGGAAGACAATCGACATCAGATATAAGTGTAGAAGATCCTTCTGGAGTTGGCCCAGCATAAGGATCAAGCTTTCCAATGAGCTCTTCGACAAATGCCTGGGACAGAGCTATAGACGCAGGATATGGGGCTACATCTAGCTCTGCTGTTGCGGCAGGTAGAGGATTGAAATCAGCTGATGTTGCAGAAGCTTGTGCTGGAGGTGACCTGGGATAACGATCCAAGTTTCCAGGTGTCTCTTCATTAGGTTCCTGGGTTAAAGCTGCAGATACAGGACATGAAGCCACATCATGGTCTGCTGTTTCTGAAGGAATAGGATTGACAAAAGCTGGTGGTCTAGAAGCTTGTTCTGGAGGTGGCCCAGCATAAGATTCGAGCTTTCCAATAGGCTCTTCATCTGGTGGCTGGGACAGAGCTGTAGACGGAGGACATGGGGATACATCGGGCTCTGCTGTGGTGGCAGATAGACGATTAATATCTGCTGATGTTCCAGAAGCTTGCACTGCAGGTGGCCCAGGAAAAACATCATGGTTTTCAGCAGGCTCCTCATCTGGTGCCTGGGTTAGAGCTGCACATGGAGGACGTGGAGCCACATCGTGGTGGCCTATTTCTGAAGAAATAGGATCGACATCTTCTGACAGTCCAGAAGCTATTTCTGGAGGTGGCCCAGCATAACA